TCCGCATGCGGCGGACGCGGGGCACACATGTCCGGTTTTCCTGCTGGACGTCCGGGCACGTGTGACCGTGGTTTTGTAACACTGGACAGTGTGCGTGCAGCCTTTCATCTCAAGAGGACCTCCCAACTGTCACAGCCTGCAACCTCAACATGCTTCGGAAGGGTTTTGTCTTTTTGCTTTTCTACAAATTAAAAGCAAATTCTGTGATGATGTCTCTGAAACGTGAATTTCAGAATGTTACTGCTACCAAGGACACACATCAGAGAAGCATGTTCTCTGTGAAAGTGACCCAAGCGGAGTGGGCAGTTACCAGAATATTCTCGTTCAGCGTTCCAGGATGAACGTTAATCTAGAAAGCAAGGCTAGGACTGTGTGCGTATACAGTATGGAGCAGGTACTGCTGAAACGCAGAGTTTCCCACAGCCTTCGTAGAGACTTTAGGCAGTTAGCCCAATCTGTGGATGACATTTGAGAACAAATTCAGGAAGGTCCAGAAGAGTGAAACAGTACTGTTTTGTAACACAGTATTATTTTGGCTTCTGTGACAAAGGACAGATAACTACTGAAGAGTATTTTGCAGTAAAATAGTAAAAAATAGGTCTACGTCAGCTGTGAAAACGTGAGGTCTGCATTTTAAAATGTCCTTTACCGACCGTTTCTAGAATACCTAGAACAACTATGTACAAAGACTACAATAACCCCTTCCAGTCTGACATTTCAAGGTCCAGCTTCCTCACAAGTGCTTCACAATATCCTTAGTTCTGGCATTAAAAAAAAAGAAAAAGAAATCGGAACTATTAATTCTATTTTTCAAATGTTGCCTTCAAAATCTTAACACTGCTTCTACTACAGACTCCTTGATTTAAACGACACCAGATGATATGGAGTCACATTAACCAAAACGTAGTGCTAGGTTTTGTGAACTTGACCCTCAGGACATGCCATCAGAGCTGAATTGACACACTGTACAACATGCCAGAAATAAGTTCCTTAAATTACAAATAACCTGAAAATCATTTTCATAATATTGAACGGACACTGTTGGAATGCAGGCGTCCGAGAACGTGAGCAGCCGTGAAATGAACGTTACCAGGCAGAAGACCTATAAAAACCATAATCAGAGGAACGTTTTCACCTAAACGGTTTTTCAGGCAAAGAGCAGCTATTAACTTTCTTCCGAAATTCCCTTTAAAAGTGAAATGTATCATGGATAATCGGAGGGAAAAATACTTCAACACTCTGAAGCCTATTCTCTAGATCCTAAAGCTCTCAGACAAAATATTCTTTGATTTCAAAGGGAACTGCATTTAAAGGCCTGCAGGACTGGGTCACAGAGTGGGAAACTCTGATCTCTAACAAAAGACTCTGGTTACAAAATGGACATGATGGGGAGCTCTTAGACCACAGAGTTGGTGGGGGGGGGGGGGGAGGGGCAAGTGTATTTATGTTAAATAAAGAAACCTCCAGCACTGGAGACGTCGTAGGGGTAACTTTCACATCTGGAGGGTGCCCCCAGTTTCTATTATTTACCATCTTCTTTATCAATATTCTGTTCAGTGGCTGTATTCTACTGGCCAGAAATTCACTGAAATTTAAATAGATTTATGTACTATGCACAAATTTACATGTGGTTGTCTTTGTTTTAAGGTTTATTCTTACCGCAAATCAAGGTTTAAACAGTTATTTTATACAAAATTTAATAATTTAGACTATGAAGCAATTTAAATACTTAAATTCCCTCAAAAAGACAACATTTTGTACACACATACATGATGAACACATAGGAAAATGGTGGTCAAAAGAATTTTTTGGCAGCTGCTTCTTGCTGAGTCCTAAGGAAAAAGAGAAAGAAAAAAACCCTGAAAGTTCTGTATGTTTTACTTTAGAAAGAACAGGACTGTTTAAAGTTGAAATACACATTGTCTTTTGGAGTAGAAGATGCACTAAGATAAACATACGAATATTCTATACGTGCACTCCCACGTGCCTGAAATAGACTAGAAACAACATCTGCTTTGTGTAAACTGAATTCTGTAAGTACTGAAAGCTCTGTAATGAGCACTGAGGACTCTGAGCATTTAAACTTAAACAAGTACAGAAAAATGTTCAGTTACATGTTAGAGACTTACCTATACATGATATAACCCACGAATAACACCGTTTGTACCACTACAAATATAACAAAGTGCATCGTAGATAAACACGATGGAAATGGTGGTAGTTCTGGGCATTTCGGCCTTTCATGTGATGGCTGTAAGGCAAAGGACTCTGTGTTATGGTTAGTCAAATTGGTATTTTAGAAAAAGAAGTAAATGTGCGATCTTTACAAAATTCATGGTGAACTACATAAACTAAAGCATTTCATTTATTCATCCCATAAATATCTTCCACCCCCGTAACTTTTACCACCTTTTAAAGTTCATTTATTTATTTTTTTAGTAATCTCTACACCCAACGTGGGGCTCAAACTCATGACCCCAAGATCAAGAGTCTCGTGCTCTTCGGAGTGAGCCAGCCAGGCGCCCCTACCACCTGACTTTCTGAAAGAGTAGATGATACTGGAAGGCATTCCACCTTCGCGGTCCAGTCACTAACTCGTTGCCATCTGGCCCGAATCGTCATCACAGTGACGATGAATATTTTGTGCTCTTGACGGTCACAAACCACGAATTCCCTGGACACATCCGGTTTATACTTGCTGTACTAGAGTAATTATCAACAGTATCCCCTTCTCAAAAGTGTTCTGGTTCAGGCAATTACATGGTTACATTCTTCGGCACCAACACTGTGGTTGGTCATGTGGCTGCCAACATTCTTCGGTACATGTGTATCCACAGCATCAACCTGGTCATTGCAACACAGGCTGAAGTTGGGAGAAAATAACCTCAAACGGAGCTAAGGGAATAGGCGATAATGCTTTGGATGAGAGGTGATGGTCAGTAAGAAAACTATTAAGTCATTTTTGAAAAATATGTATATGCAAGACACATATAAAAAATAGTTAAGAAAGACAGTATCTAAAAATATAAAGAAGACAAGATTACATGTTAAAGACCTAAGTTCTTCCCTTCTACCACATACTAGCTAATGACCTCAGGAAAGTTATTTAACATATTAATTTTCTTTCCTAAAAAACAATAGATATTTTTTAAAAATCTGGTATTAGGACTTCCAGGAAGGTAGACTACATAATATGGACCAACTCACAGAAGACAACTGGCAGACCTAGAAACAAATCCAATCTAAAACGAACACCTGTCTGGGGGCGCCTAGGTTGAGCGTCCAACTCTTGATTTCAGCCTAGGTCATGATCCCAGGATTGGGCGATCGAGCCCCGAGGCAGGCTCCATGTGGAGTATAGAGCCTGCCTGAGATTCTCTTTCTTTCCCTCTGCCCCTCTCTCCTGCTCATACGCGCGCACCCTCTCTTAAGTACAACAACAAAACAAAAGACACCTGTCTGCAGGCAAAGGCAGCAAACAAGATAGCAAGAAATTAAGGGATCAGCATTTTAGGGGGAAAAAAAGGCCAAAGGAAGACAACTTTAAGTCCATGGATCACGGCTCAGTGGCTCAGTCGGTTAAGCACTGGACTTTGGCTCAGGTCACGATCTCTTGGTTTGTTGAGTTCAAACCCCACATCAGGGTCTGTGCTGACAGCTCAGAGCCTGGAGCCTGGCCTCAGATTCTGTGTCTCCCTCTCTCTGCCCCTCCCGATTATGCTCTTTCTCTCTCTCTCTCAAAAATAGACATTAAAAAATTTAAAAAACAAACAAACAAACAAAAAAAAACCATGGGTCAGAGAAGAAATTAAAATGGAAGTTAAAAAAACGTTTATCGAAAGATTAATATAAATACTCCATATAAAAAATTACGGGATAGGAGGAACATTTTCTGCTTCCACCTCTGAAGGGCTGACTAGGAACAGCTCTGTCACCTTGACAACAAGACAAAATATACGAAACACCTGTTTACAAACACCGGCCACAGGCAGTGGCCCGGAGGTAGATTCTGCATACAGGGGGGGCCCCCAGAGAGAAGCGAGTGGTCCTACTGAGCTAAGTCAGATACTGTATTTTAGGGAGGCTAAGGCGGCTGCGTGTTACAGAATATGAAAAAGGGTAACAGCAGAGACAGAAGTCTCTGAAGTTTGCAGAAGAGTCCTTCAAATCTTTGGCTGAATCTAATCTGCACGTGCGTGGTGCAAAACTCCACATGGCTAGGGGAGAACTACTCCAAGCAAGAGGCCAGACAACTCCCAGAACTCACGGGAAGGGCCGCAACAGTCTGTTTTCCCACCAGCCAGCCAGAGACACCACTATAGTGGGGAGAAATGAACTCTTAGACTGGCGGTTCTCAACCAGGGGCAGTTCATTTGGCCAGAGGACAGCTGGCCACGTCTGACGACATCTGGATTGTCACGACTGGGAAGTGCCACTGGCACCCAGTGGGTAGAGGCCAATAACACACAGAACGGTTTCCCACACAAAAAAAAGTTTGTGGTGCAAAATATCAACGGTGCTGAGAAATCCTAACCAGACCCATCCTAAAAGGTATGCTTAAAAAACATACCTTGAAGAGATCAAACTAACCCCCCAAACTTAACTGTAGACCACAACAAAGTCGAATACTATTTAAAGGAATACAACAAAATCCAACAACCAATAACATAAAAGTAGCAACGTTCAGCATCCAATGAAAAATTACCAGGTATGCCAAGAAGGAAACTTGACCCAGTCTTAGGAGAAGAATTAATCAGTAAAAATAAACCCAGAAATGACACAGATGATGGAATTACCCAAGAAAGACATTAAAACATACTGTAAACATGTCTGGGCTTATGAATGTAGAGAAAAATACAAACATGATGAGGAAATGGAAGATATAAAAAAGGGACCCAAATGGAATTTCCAGAGACTAACACACAAAAAGATACTTTGGAGGAGATTAGCAGGACATTAGACACTGCAGAAGAAAACATCAAGAAACCCGAAGACGTGGCATAGAAGTGATCCACAACTAAAAAAAGTCCAACAGAGGTGCATTTGAGCAGCTCAGTTGGTTCAACATCTGACTCTCGATTTTGATTCCTGTGTCGGGCTCAGAGCTGACAGCAGGGAGCCTGCTTGGAATTCTCTCTCCCTCTCAAAATAAACAAACACACATTAGAAGAAAAGAAAAGAAAAAATCTAACAGGGAAAAAAAAAAACCTGAAAGAAACATGGCTAAAAATTTTCCAAATTAAAGACAGCTATAAATGCATAGAACCAAGATATTAAGCCCCAAGCAGAAGAAAAACAAAAGCAAAGCATATCATAATGAAACTGTTGAAAATCAGTATTACATTAAAATCTTAAAAGCAGAAAAAAACACATTGGGCACAGAAAAACAAAAGACTGACAGACTTCTCGTTAGAAATTATCATATAAACTATGATGCAATCACACAATGGGGCTCACGTGGCTATAAAAGCAGTAAGGAAGCTCTGCACACTCCTGTGGCCGTGTGGAGAAGGGAAGAATGCAGGGAGAAGACAGACGCACAGTATATGCTACCATCCGTAAGAGTAGGGGAAGAATTGACAATGGTTTCTGATTATATCAGGAAAAGAAACAATGGAGGGATAAACTACAGACCGCCCCCCGCCCCAATTCATTTCTCTCATTATAGAAGTAGCTTGAGCATCTTTTCATACATGTACAAGCTTTCACTTTTTTTTTTTTTAATGATTAAAAAAAAATGTTTATTTAGTTTGAGAGAGAGGGCGAGAGCATGAGCAGGGGAGGGGTAGAGACAGGGAGAGAGAGAGGATCCCGAGTAGGTTCTTCACTGTCAGAGTGCAGAGCGCAGAGTCCGATGCGGGGCTCGAACTCGCAAACTGTGAGATCACGACTGGAGCCGAAATCAGAATCAGATGGTTAAGTGACTGAGGCACCCAGGTGCCCCAGTACAAGCTTTTCCCATGAACACCATTCATTTCTCCAGCACATCTTTAATTGGGTTGTTTCACACTGAATTTTTAGTGTTGGTCATTTTGAGGAGACTGGATCACAAGAGGAAGCGGCAAGTGCTACAAGCACTTGTGAATTTGATAAAGGGTTTGAAGGGCAGTAAGGCAGTTAAGGAAAAACTTCCAAGCGAAAGACTTACAAGCACCACAGGCCCATTGTCCAGTGTCGTCTCTTATGCACATCCAACTTGGAAAACTGTTACCTATTTTTATCGTTATGGCCAATCTCTAAAAACGTACCTGGGGCTTATAATTAAAAAACAGGCCTAAGAAAGTAAAATACCTCTCCCCACCCCCCGAAAAAAAACCAGAAGAACTTTTAAAAAGTGCACGAAGTAAGACAGGAAAAGCTATTGGAAAAAAGAAGAGTCTGGCCTAAAGAAAGGCCACAGTCAGCCAGCGTCAGACCTGTGCTTCCCACAGCCCAGGCAGAGACACGGAGGCTACTCAGCAGCCGTGAGTCTTGCTGTGTCTCAGTGAAGGGTCAAGAGATACCACTTTTTTTAAGCTGTTTATCTGACACCACTGCTGAAAATAAGACCTTTTTTTTTTAAAGGAAAATTTACGGAAAATAAGTCAGAAACTGCGACAGCTCCAATGATAGGAATAACAAGTTTTTTTAAAAATTCTATTCAGTAGGGTGTGGGAGCATGGAACATATAGACATTTGGATCGTATGGAATAATTTCACCTTAAATATTAAAAATGAACATTAGTACTCAGTAAAAAGTTCAAATATTTTCAGCAGAATACGTGTTCTCCCTGGGGCTCCTGGGTGGCTCAGTCAGTAAAGCATCCGACGTCAGCTCAGGTCATGATCTTGCAGTTTGTGGGTTCAAGCCCCATGTCGGGCTCAGAGCATGGAGTCTGTTTCAGATTCTGTGTCTCCCTCTCTCTCTGCCCCTCCCCTTGCTTGTGCTCTCTCTCAAAAATAAGTAAACTTTTTTTTAAAAAAGACTTAATAAAAAGAAAAGAGAAGAAAGAGAAAGAAAAGAAAAGAAAAGAAAAGAAAAGAAAGGAAAGAAAAGAAAAGAAAAAAGAATATGCGTTCTTCCCTTTCTAACTAAGGACGGCTGACAATTATAAAAGCAGAAGAAAAAGAGCTTACCGTATTTCGCTGCACCAAGTGATCTATGTCCCTCTTCACTATGTGGAGGTGTTCTTTGATGTCATTGAAGTGCTGGGTCGACTCATAAACTCCCCCTGCAGATCCCGGATGCTGGAGGCCACTGACCAGTCTGACGGTGTCACTCATGGAATTCCTGAAACAGAAAATCCCCTTAAACAAGAGAAGTGCTAGAAAAATAATTTTTTTAGTCACATATTTCAAGTGGTTGGATGTATTTCTAAGCCCAATATGGTAGATTAAAAAAATCAATATTTAGAAATACTGAATTGTCTTCAAGATTGGAAAATAATTTACAAAACTACAACTTAACATTGCATCTTTCTTTTACTACACAGATCACCTAAAAATAGCCACATAGGGAACACCGCTAAATAATTTGTGTTAAAACCAGTATCGTAAATGGATACTGAATAATATAATAGCTGATACTTCTTTTTAAATGTTATTTTGAGAGAGAATGCGTGAGCAGGGGGAGGGGCAGAGAGAGAGAGGGAGGGAGAGAGTCCCAAGCAGGCTCTGTCTGCACTGTCAGCGCAGAGCCCGACGCGGGGCTCGATCCCGTGAACCATGAGATCACAACCTGAGCTGAAACCAGAGAGTCACATGCTTAACTGACAGAGCCACCCAGACGCCCCAATAATGGGTGATACTCTTAATGGACTCAGATCTAAGTGTTTAATGTTGTGCAATAAAGGATTAACTCATCAGGTCTGGACTGCACAAACCCTGCATATTCCAAAGGTTTTTAGGACCGGCCCTTGAAATATCTTGCCTAATAAGGGCCTCCTTCTCTACCCGGAGCCTTGGGCCATGCCAGATGGTTTAGGCTAACAATGTGATTTACGTTTTTGTTTGCATGCGGCCCATGTGGTATCAGTTTGACCTCTAGGGGGACTGGAGACTGAGCAGTTAAAGTCAGTTACATGCGTGCTCCACGCCTATGTGACTGACCCCTAAACCCTGGACACTAAGGCTTGGGTGAGCTCCGTTGGTTGGCAAAGCTGTGTGCGTGTCACTCATCGCTGCTGGGAGGAATAAGCACTGTTCATGCAACTCTACTGGGGAGGACAGCTTGTGCCTGGTTTCTCCTGGACTCCACACCAGGCATACGCCTTCCATCTTTGCTGGGTTTATTTTATATCCTTTCATTATGATAAATCACAACTGTGCGTACTTCTAGGAAATCACAGAACCTGGGGGTAGTCTCAGGGACCCCTTAGACAAACGTATTTCTACCTATTTTTCTATGCAGTTCCCTCATATAGCTCTTTATACAAACCTAGAACTTCAACTAGAACCCAACTAAAGAAGCACCTGTTTCAAATACGAAGGGAAAGCTGGCTGTTTGGCACACTGGCGTGTCGGTCTCTGATGTGGTGTCTTTTTGGAGAGTAATTTTGACCTTATAGGACATTTTACTTTATGCACGACTTCAAATACAATTTCCCTGTAAGACGTGCTTCCACTATTAGATGTAAGACAAAGAGTTCTAACACTGAGTGTGACCTTTGGTTACGAGTTTGAACACGATAGTAAGAGACTACAAAGGTTTTTGTTTGTTTGTTTTAAGTAATGGCAGAAATGTAACAAAACTATTTACTAAGAAAGAAAGGAAGATTCATGAATTTCAAGTTACCCGAAAACGTCATTTTACTTAAAAAGCTCTATAAATGCAAGCAGTTTATGTTATTAACGTTTGTATTATGATATATCTCCAAGTGTAGGGATTTTTTGGTGAGGTAGATAAAATACGAGTGGATGGGCAAACTGATGGATATGCAGGGGGTCTCCACGCTAATCTCTCTACTTGTGTGTATGTTTGAAAACGGCCATAGTCTGTAAAAATCCTTACGGGTCTCCATAACCTCTTTGTGGCTCATCTTTCTAACTCTGTTTCCTAATGCTCTATTTTATGTCTAGACTCCTGTTGTCCCTGAAGATATCTTTCACTTGAAGCCTCTGGTCCATGTTGCTTTTCCTGGTTCTGACCCTTCCCTCCAAGAGCAACATCCTAAAATGGAAAGCCTAGTTCAAATGGCTGCCTTCCTCTAGTCTCCTTCCCGTGAACCTTCAATGCCAAATGCAGCCATACCCTAAACACACACACACACACACACACACACACACACACACATTTTCTTCTCTGTAGCTATAAATGGATTTTCTTCCTCATTGAGCACATGCTCCCCCAGAAAAGGGGGCATGTCTCTGATTTCCTGACAATGCCTTTGACAGTTATAGTTCAATTTGGATAAATGAATAAATAAGTTACTTAACTTATTTCCCTGGAGTAAAATGTAGTTTAAAAACTAAAAGCTTTTCCAGTTAAAAAATGGGCAGAAGGCACGAATAGACATTTTTCCGAAGAAGACTTCGAGATGGCAACAGACACATGAAAAGATGCTCAACATCACTCATCATCAGGGAGATGCAAATCAAAACCACAGTGAGATATCACCTCACACCTGCCAGAAGGGCTAAAATTAACAACACGGGAAACAACAGATGTTGGTGAGGATGCAGAGAAAGGGGAACACTCTTACACTGTTGGTGGGAATGCAAACTGGTGCAGCCACTCTGGAAAAGAGTATGGAGGTTCCTCAGAAACTTAAAAACAGAACTACCCTACGACCCAGCAGTTGCACTACTAGGTATTTGTAGTGCAAAAACATACCGATTTGAAGGGATACACGTACCCCGAGTTTACAGCAGCATTACCAACAATAGCCAAGTTACGCAAACAGCCCAAATATCCATGGACTGATGAATGGATAAAGATGATGTGGTGTACGTGTATACATATGTGTATACAAACACAGACACACACACTGGAATATTAGCTATAAAAAAGAATGAAATCTTGCCATCTGCAATGATGTGGATGAAGCTAGAGTATTATGCTAAGTGAAAGAAGTCAGAGAAAGACAAATACCATAAAATTTCACTCATATGTGGAATTAAGAAACAAAACATAGATGGGAGAAAAAAAAGAGAAGGAAGCAAAACATAAGAAACTGAACTATAGCGAACAAACTGAGGGTTACTAGAAGGGATGGGCTGGATGCATGATGGGCATCCAAGAGGGCACTCGTAATGAGCACTGGGTGTTGTACGTAAGGCATGAATCACTAAATTCTACTCCTGAAACCAACATTACACTATATGTTAACTAACTAGAATTTAAATAAAACTTTGGAGAAAGAAACAAATTTTTAATAAAAAAACAGAGAAATACTTACACATGTAAGTAAAAGTTCAAAAAAAATTAAAAAAATAAAAAACAAGAAAAAGTAAAAGCTCTGCCGGAAGAAAACAAAAAAAGAGGAACTCAAATGTCAGAATTACTTAGAAAGAACAGTCTATCAGGCTGAACGTTAAGTATAGTCAATCTCCAAAAATTACATTTGAGTTATATGAACAAGACTTTAAAACTTGCTACAAAATATCTCAAGTGCTTTCTGAATAAATGGCACGTGTTGATTAAAATTTCCTAATGGCACACATGCTCGAGAAAACTCACGGGAGTCTAAGCTCTTCCATTAAAACTCAAATTAAGGATTATATTTTAATATGCCTAAATACTTAGCAAGAACAAAGTATCCCAAAATATAGAACTTCCTCACGAATCTGCATTTAAGAATATTGCTTCCCAGAGGCATGCAATTGCTTACACATAAATGTCTCTTTAATACACAAAGACTGAGTCACTTAATGTGTTCCCATTCAATCATTCATTCATTCATTCGCCTGTTGACCGTGCCAACATAGATTTGGTACGTGTTATGAGCCAGGCAATTTTTAGGGACAGAAATGGAGAGAAAAGTGGAGTTCCCGCCCTGCCGACACTGGTGGTCTGGCAGGAGAGCGACGTGACGGAGGCACGTCTCGAGCTCCACGAAGAAGGGGCGTTCATCTCAGCGGGGCCCTGACAGTGGAGTGTTGAAGGATGAGGAGGGTTCCATGGAGGTGGGACTGGTGGAAGGAGGGACAGGTCAAGTGAGAGAGAGAGAGAGGGCTGGAGAACCCTAGAGAAAAACACCCTTTGAGGGATATAAGGAGGAGCCACAAGTGAAGAAGGCCGAACTGAAGCAGAGGGGCCAGAGAGCGAGTGCTACACGGGGACATCTTAAAATGTCCCCAGTGAGAGGGGTGGGAAAGCGCCGGCTGCCCCAGGAAGCCCTTCCCAGTGAAGATGGGACGGAAGGTGATCAGTAGGGGTACGATGGCAAATCACTGTGGTTTGGAAGTGAAGACAGGTAGTTTGGTCTACTCTTTTAGAAACTCAGATAAAAGGGAAGAAAAAAGAAAAGCAACAGTTAAAAAGGTCAATTAAATTAGTTTAAAATTAGTTTTAAATACCGGAAAAGCAAACCCTTTTACAAATGGAAGCCGCAGCACTGAAGGAAAGTTAAAGGTAGAAGACACAGAGAATCACTGACGGGACAAGGGTCAGCAGTGGTAGAAAGAAGGGGATCCAGAGCTAAGGATGGGCCTGGTCTACCCTATGTGTCGAGGGGTGGAGCAGAGAAAAGGGACGTGGAGGGGGCGAAGGAGGGCCTGTGTTACAGGGCCTGAGGACAGGATGAGCCTCCTGGGTGAGATAATGTGATGATCAGGAAGGAATAAAGGTTGTTAAGCACTTAAGTACTGCATTACAGGGCCGGGTTGAAGGTACAGAAACGGGTAACCAAGAGCAAGGTCCCAGGAGAATATGTGAAAATATTTATGCAAGGGGTGCGTGGGTGGCTCAGTCTGCCAAACGTCTGACTCTTGATCTCCTCGGCTCAGGTCACCACCTCACAGTTCGCAAGTTCAAGCCCCACACAGGGCTCCGCGTTGACAGTACAGAGACCCTGCTTGGGATTCTTTCTCTCCATCTCTCTCTGCCCCTCCCCAGCTCGTGCTCTTTCTCAAAATAAAAAAAAAAATTAAAAATGCCTAGCACAGTACCTAGAACGCAAAAGGCACTCAATAAATTAGGTAAAAGTAAACATGAAATGTTCAACACTCCCTACTCACCGAAAAGGGCATTTATACTTTGAATTCAACATTTAAAAAATATAACTAATTAACAGATGACACAAACCAACACACAAATGGTAGAGCTTGAAAAGCATCTGTAACTCTGTTCATTGAAAAGGCCTAGAAGTGGGGCACCTGGCTGGCTGAGTCAGTAAAGCATGTGACTCTTGACATCTGAGCTGTGAGTGTGAGCCCACATTTTTTAGTTTACCACTAAAAAAGATAGATAATAACATAACATAACATAACATAACATAACATAACATAACATAACATAACATAACATAACATAACATAACATATAAAATAAAACGGTCTAGAAGCAATGACAACCCAGTAGCAATAAGCACTAGACTGTCTATACAATATACTCCATTTCTTATTAAAAGAAAAGGGATCCAGGGGCTCCCGGGTGGTTCAATCAGTTAAACATCCGACTCTTGATTTTAGCTCAGGTCATGACCTCACAGTTTGTGAGTTCAAGCCCGGTGGAGCCTGCTTGGGATTCTCTCTCTCGCTCTCTCTCTCTCTCTGCCCCTCCCCTGCTCACGTGAGCACTCTCTTTCTCTAAATAAACAAACTTAAAAAGAAGACAAGGGATCCAAAGAAAAATGCCTTTTGCCACGTGCAGGATGGAAATGTACAAAAGAAACATGGAAAAGTCTTTCTTTTTTTTTTTTTTTTTTTTTTTTTTTTTTTTTTTTTAAGTAGGCTCCATGCCCAACGAGGGGCTTGAACCCATGATCCTGAGATCATGAGTCTCAAGCTCTACTGACGGAGCCAGCCGGGTGCCCTGAAACCTGGAAAGTCTTACACCTTAAAGAAAAGAAGCTATCAAACACTACTAAGTTCTGGGGTTATCTCAAAATGACACAGGAGCTAACGGGCTGCTAGTGACCAAAGACGAGCCTCTCTGAATATCACTTGTAAAGACTAAGAATCACAAGGGCAAAATATGTTAAATCCATGGGTTGAAAAGAAAGAAAACCACCCCTCACTACCTCATCATTTAACCTTGCACGGTGCCAGGACACCAACTCATGATTTTGAAAAATGGTAAGGAAAAAAGAGTCAAGTATTTATTCTGCCTTTCTTGGACTGTTTCAGAATAACAAACAAGTGATGGGAGAAGTTCTTTTTAATCGGACAGGGAACCTGAGAAGAGAGTGCCACCTTTCAATGACCTCTAAGGAAATGAGGGATTTAGGCTCCAGCCATCACTGTCACTAAAATTTGGAGAAATTGATGAGGGTAATTCATAATGAATAGCTCAGGCTGACACCAACCAGTTAGTAATAACTGTTGAACCTGGGGGCATGGGGATATGAGGGAAGGCTTTCAGGCTCAACTTCTCTGTATGTTTGAAAATTTCTAAAGTGAAAATAACAATTGGCAAGGCTTTCCGGTGTGCTAGAAAATAGCACTTCAAAGTAAGGAGATAAGGAAACTAGTTCTGACTGTTGTGACCTTCTATCCCTCAGAGCTTTTTTCCTTTTTCCGTAAATTGAAGGGGACTGTACCTCATGCTTCTGCTCAAAAAATTCTATGATTCTCTCTAAGGATATGAAAATCCACAAAGACACAAATCACCCTTTCCATAAAAGGCAAGTATTTCCTGTCTCTTTACAGTTTTTTTCTGAAGCTTAATCCAGAAGGAAAAAACTCTAGAGGACAAATTTAGAAACTCGTGTTCAGATTTTACACTAACTTATGGTAGGCATGACATTTGTTCTCAATCGGCAAGTGGGAATTTACAAGGATTGCTAACTACCCTAAATAAGTCCTTCATGGATAATACAGTCGGATGGCTAGGATGACCACTAATTGAATCTTAAGATGTTTTAGAACCACTGTTAAGGGAAACAAGCAAAGCACAAAAGGGTATCTAGAAGATGCCACCATTCACGTAAGAAAGAAGGGGATCTAAGGAAACACACACGTGCAGAAGAAACCCAGGATGAACAAACTAGAAGTTAATGGGACAGATGACCAACAGGGGGTGGGTGGGAAAAGGCTAGAAAGAAGGTGAGAAGTGGGGATGGGTGCTAGTGGTGAAGAGGGAGCTATACTTCAGTGAACACATACATTTCAACTCTTAGAACCTTGCAGAACATAGTATTTACATTCCCTTCACATACCCAAAATACACACACTGAAAATCAACCAGGATGTAGGAAGAACACAAACACTACCAAAGAAATCTAACTGTATTCTAAATGCATATCCTAACCACACTGAAGAGAATGGGGAAGAGGAGAAATGAACTAAGTAACTGTCTGGAAAATAGGGTCTGCATTACAAACTGTAAGTCTAGAGGCAAAAGGAACTTTACATAAATCCATCAGTAAATATGTTTCTCACAGTGATAGAAGTTGACAATTTGAAACCACTTTATGGGTACGTTACGTGCACACTAAAATTAGTAAAAAAAAAAAAATCATAGGTAAGAACCAGGTTTCTCCCTCTCAGAGAAAGAATTTTCAAATCAGGAAGGACGAGGTAAAAAATCAACGCTGTAATGTTCAGTCCAGTCTGGTCCAACCAGAATCCAAAGTGTGTGGTTAATCTCGGGGTTTTTTTTTTTTTAATGCAAATGTAGAGTGATGGGTACAACAATAAAGATAATCGTATACATGTGGGTTATTACACATTCATATATTCCAGAACTCTGTCTACTGAGATATCTAGAAGCAGTGGCACCACAGTGGTAACGAGCACACCTAGTGCCCAGATCTAGGGTTTCTAAATACTTTTCTCCAATAAAAGGAACCAGGGCTCACTGAAGAAGTGGTTGATTCTAGAGCTGGGACAGAGAAAATACAAGATGTGCCTGAAACACAGTGTAACACCAGAAAGTAAAGAAATGCTTTAAAAAAAAAAGATGGGGCTTGTTGAAAGAACACAGAAGCCAACCTGAAGGAGTTCTTAATTTAATTACCAGGGTTGAACAATGTGAGGAACAAATAATGATAGTATTGGATCGCAATCCACAGAATATCCATGGGTCCATATGAAATAAATGATTGATTGAATAAATAAATGGGGGAGAACAGAAAGCTGGTCCTTACAGAATTCCACAAAATACGTGGGAAGGAATGATGAAAATAGGAAAGAAACAGCATTTGGGAAACATCTCATTCTTGTTTCAGGCACAACATCAATGGAGGCTACAATTAGCAAGCAAAAGTTTAAACTAAAACAGGACATCACAAACTTACATAGTCTCAAAGTATCTTTTCTGAAATATAATTAATCACCAAGGGAAAAACAGTAACCTTAAAGTAGAGAAAGCAGGAAGAAACCACCATAATCAAGTGATCACAGCCAATGTCAACAGGAGCGAGACATACTGACATCATGAACATGATACGATGTTGCATTCTTCTCAAAAGTGCAGAACCTCCATCCAATCGTGAGTAAACACCAGACAAACCCAAACTGAGAGGCAGTGGACCAAAAAAGCGCTCACTGCAGAAACTGTCATGGGCATGAAAGACAAGGAAGGAAGGACTATCTCAGACTGCGGAAGTCTAAAGGGAAATAACTAAACGCAATGTGTGTTGCTGGATAGGATCCTGGAACAGAAAAAAGGCATTCATGGAAAACAGGCAAAATCTGAGTAAGATCATTAGTTAACAGTACTGTACCGATGTTAATTTCTCAGTTCTGACTGTGCTATGGTTATGTAAGGTGTCAACATTAGGGGAAGGGGGGTGAGGGATATATGGAAATTATACTATTTTTGCAATGTTCAAAGTCTAAAATTATATGAAACTAAAGACTTTTAAAAATAATGCCACATGATCCAGTCTATTTCTGAAAGAATTTAACTATTCGTTTAGAGTCATAAATATTTTAATCATGAGTTCGCAACTTAAAGATTTTTTAAAATGCCAAATAGCACAAGGGAAAGAAGTACCAGTTTGCAGTTACAAGCTGGGTTGCCTCTAATCTCTAGGTGTAGATATTATCACCTGTTTAACCTAATAATACTGTTTAGTTTTCCAGGGCTAAAGAACTCACCTGGACATTCTTGTTTGTCAAGGGTTGTATTGGTCCGGGTGGTGCTCTGAAGTGTTAGCTTAAGGAATGTAACATTTTGGCTGTTTCTCTACATTAGGCATCAAAAGCTGTTAATTATCTGCCTAAGTGAATACTTTTTAGAAACTTATCAAAGTTCCAGTACCTCCTCTCTGCTCCAACTCTTTGTTGGGTCCAACTCTCAGGGTACAAGATGGAGTGAAAGAGAGGTAGTCACATACAGCATATTTCCTTCCATATGGTTTGTATTCTATCAAAAAGTTCCTGCATGAGGTATGTTTGTATTGTTGCCCTACAATACTATGCATGTTTACTCTTCTAGCATTTTTTCACAGAATTGCTATACATTACATATAGTCTTGTTATTTTAGAAATGTATGAATATTCCTGGCTGTCAAGTAGCTGTGACAAACATATTTTCTTGTAAGATGCTAAAGCAATTTTTCTGGTGTTCACTTTGGCACAAAGCACAAAAGTACTAAAGCATTTTTTTCTTTTCTGCCTTAGAACAATTTGAAAATTTAGGGATGTTGGTAGCTTTTAAATATCAAAGTTCTTGTACTTTACATTCCCCTATTTCAAAATGAATCAAAAAAAAAAAAAAAAAAAAAAAAAAAAAATCTATGGGCACCTGGGTGGCTCAGTTGGTTATGCGACTGACTTTGGCTCAGGTCATGATCTCATCATGGTCCGTGAGTTCAAGCCCCGAGTCGGGCTCTGTGCTGACAGCTCAGAGCCTGGAGCCTGCTTTAGATTCTGTGTCTCCCCCTGTCTCTGCCCCTCCCCTGCTCATGCTTTGTGTTTCTCTGTCTCTCAATAGTAAATAAACGTTAAAGAAAATTTAAAAAAAAAATCTAAAACATGATTCTTATCCCCACGCAGAATTCTTACAATAATAATGTGCTTGCGTATATACAGAGAGAAGTCATGAATTTTGGATAAATTTATCACTTAACACTCGGCGATTACTTTTGTTGACTTACTTCATTTCATTTACTTGTCTCAGAATCTCATGCTGAGTGTTCACAACAGTATCCATCTCTTGCTGAGTGATCTGGAGGGAAAACAAAAGAATCCAGTTCTGTACAAACACACTGCATAGCAAGCAACCTTTCTTTTCTACTTCTCCATCAGAGGCCACCTACGGCTCATACGTATATTTGGAAAGCTTACCTGTCCATGCTGCCCTGGGATTCCTGCTCCTCTTTTAGAGATCTCCTCGGTCAAGGAAGAGACATATCTTCTCTGTTCATCAAGAATCATATCTAATTGTCGGTTCAGTTGCTTGATTTCAAGATGGATACGATTCTGTCCTTCAAAGATTTGTCTCAGCTCACGATCTCCTACACTCTCAAATATTTCATCTGCTGAAATGGAAATTGCAACTTAAAATTATTAAACTCACCAACACATGTAGTTTTTGAAATACCGTAAGTTACTAAAGTATCAATATATAATAAAATTGGGGGTGCCTGGGTGGTTCAGTCGGTTGAGCGTCCGACTCATGATTTCGGCTCAGGTACTGCACGATCCCAGGGTCGTGGGATCGAGCCACGTGTCAGGCTCTGCACTGAGCATGGAGGCTGTTTGAGATTCTCTCCCCCTATCACTCCCCCCTGCTTCCATCTCTCTCTCTAAAATAAATAATAGTAATAAAAAAACATATACGTCACCACTATGTTGTACTCCAGTGGTATGACCTCCCCAACAGTAAACATGCAAGATCGTCAATTCAATCAGGACAAAATTGTTATTTGTTTGTTGCCATCTCTGCTGGTTGAATACTCACTATAAATTAGTTCTGAATTTTCACCTAAAAATAATTCTTTCAAATATACTGTATAATTCTACTTATATGAAAGGGTAAAACTCATCTACGTTAACGGATATCAGAACAGCGGTTTTGCCTCTGTGAAGAGGGCGCTGGCTTGAAAGAGGCACGAGGGAAGTTCTCGGGGTGAGAAAAATATTCTACGTGCTGATCTGAGTGACAGTTACACAGGTATACGCTTGTCAAAATTCATCAAACTACGCTCTTAAAATCTGTGCATTAAAATTATTTTTAAATTATTACTTATGTAATTAATTAAAAAATGGAGTTGAGAACAGCACATTTTCCTTTCATACCTATGCTGAAAATAAGATTACTTCATTTGAACACTTATTACAATAAGCTTCAGGACACAGTCACAAACCATATGTAATACTTAAAACAAATCCAAGAAAAGAATTAAATTTACCTTTCATTTTTACCTGCATGAGGTCTGATTCATATTATTTAGAGGATTTAGAGAATCACATGCTATCTGGAGTACAAAAGCTAGCTGTGAGCTTTATTATACGGCTTTGATCATCTGTGCTGGTGGGAACAATCCAAATAAAAGCTAGCAGATACTCTAAAGCCACTCTATTTGGACTTCTCATGTTTTGTTTTTGACAGCTAGCACACTCGAGTTCTTACTTACACTGGCTTAAGACTAATTATTTTAAAATTCGCCAATTTCAAAGTCCAGAGTTCTGTCAAGCAGTATACGGGAAGGAGAGCCAGAGAATCACTTCTCATTACTTCCACAAGCCTTCTGACATTTTTCCAGTGGTATCCCTCTATTAATAAGGTACTGTGTGCCACTCAAAAATGAAAGACATACACCTTAGATGATTTCATCCCATAAATATTTACTGAGTCTCAACTACCAGGTCGGCAATGGGGCTCTTTTTTTTTAGGTTTAGGGGGCAGAGCAGTAAGCACACAAACAGAACCCCTGTCCTCACAGACCCTGCCCCGCGGTGGATCGCCGTCCGTCCACATCGCCTGGTATCCCCCACTGCACGCTCTCCTAAGCCACACTCTTACTGGTGGGAACGTCAACCTCCAAGCCTCGTGATGGCAGAAGATGCGCTCATATACTGCTTCCGGAAACTATTTGGACGTGCCAGACAAGAGCTCAATGATGAGATGCACGCATGCACCACAAGCCCTGTGCGGTTCTGAGCATAGCTTTCTTCAACTCACCAGGATGCCCTTGAAGGTCAGGGTGGCCCTTCTGGAATTCCTCCTTTTTTTTATCCAACTCTTGTTGAAAGTGCTCAAATTCCTCCTGATACTTTTCTTTTTCTTTTTCTGAAATTTCTTTATCTGGTGTAGGCTTTTTTGGAATTTAGAATCATAAAAAAAAAAAAAAAAAATTAGAAGGGTAAGAAAATACTAAACCTCCATATACTTTTCTGCCCTTCATTTCAACTACTCTACCACTAGTTGAAAGGCTAACGTAAAAATGTCATTTCTTATTTAGATCATAGCCCACTGACTCTTGCTACTAATAATTACAACAGAACGATAATGCTAGGCACTTCCATTTACCGCGTGCCTGCCAGCAGTCCAATGGTCTGATTTAATGCTCACGACACCATAAGGTGACCAGTACAAATGTCTCAGTTTTACTAGGAAGAAACGGGGTGGTAACGGAAGTTGAGTAACGTTTACAAGGTCATATGACAGTAACAGGCAGGAGGAAGACCCAAACCTAAGCTGGGCTTCCCGTTTTCAGCTACAAGGAGCTACCAATAAAGCGAAAATAAACTTTTTGAGAAAATTATACTTACCGGCTCTTTCCCAGGCTCAGTCAATTGGAAAGTCAGGAAAGAAAGGACATCGTGGTCATCTACAAATTAAAAAAAACAGAAACAAAAAACAATGAGAAAGTTCCATAACAGGTTATTTTTATGGCTGTGAAGTTACCTTAGAGAGAGCTATTGCTTTAAAAATAATCAGTATGAAAAATAACAAATATTAGCTCTAATCTGGTAAAGGCAATGGTGCTCTATGAGCTTAGAGATAAAAATTCACCAAAAAGATTTACATCAGAAATAAACTAAAATTCACGTTTTTTAATTCTAAACTAGAATATTTAACATTGCTTAATAAATAACACGTTTAATAAACAAGGGGAGAGGGGTGCCTGGGTGGCTCAGTCGGTTAAGTGACTTCAGCTCAGGTCATGATCTCACAGTTCGTGGGCTCAGGCTCCACATCAGGCTCTGTGCTGACAGCTCGGAGCCTGGAGCCTACTTCAGATTCTGGGTCTCCTTCGCTCTCTGCCCCTCCCCCACTCATACTCGGTCTCTCTCTCTCAAAATAAAAATAAACATTAGAAAAGATAAAATAAGGGGATAAAGGATCATAATGAATAAGGGATAAGGGAATGCACAAACGAACGAAGGGTCAAAACAAGCCCAAACTCCTAAAACTGGCACCAAGATCCTCCCATATTTTCCCACAAATCTCCTTCACAGGCTGTGCCCTAGTCAAATGATACGAATTTCTGTCCTTCGTGTATTTCCATAGCTGTCACTGAACCCTTCCTACGGTACTTACCACTTCTCGCCTCACTAGGACAGCCCTGATTTATCCATGTTGTCCTGGCATTACTATAATAGCACCTTCTTTTACTCTCAGAGCTTTCCAATTTAGATAATATGATCACTCTATCTAAATATCACTCATATTTGTTTCCCTCACATAGCAGATATTAACAATTTTACTTTATCTAAAATCGTATTTTAAAAATCAAATTAATCTCGGGCTGTGTAAGCTGAAAACAGGGACTTAGCAGATCATACCTCGTAACGTTGACCTAAATTACCAATCCTGGCTAGGATACCAGTCACGTCCACAAAGCAAGAGCAATTAATTTCAACTGGCAACCTCTATGCTTTCTGCCATTATTACGGAGATCTCGATATGCAGCCAGATTAAAGAGAATATCGTACCACCGTGGTGTAAGTTACATCGTTTGGGGAGAAGATGTACAGTGTGATACAGCACTGGACACAGGAGTCAGAAATCCAAACCAAGTCTTGCCTTGGTCTGGCCATTATTGGCCATGTATATTTATAATGTCCTTTAATCCAAGGTTTGGCAAACTTAAGTAAAAACAGAGTAAATACAATCTATCCACTCCCTCCTTCCCTGTGATGAGGAGAGGAACAATCATGTATTTGAAAATAATAGAAAATCATACAATGTACCATGTGAACACAAGATGGTATTCATGTCAAATAAGAAGTTCATTTATCACCAAAATGTAGGGGAAAAAAGTGGTAAAAGTGATAAATACACCTTGATGAAAGTTTAGTCCCCAATATTTCCTCAGGCTACCAAATTCACTTAAATGTGCCGGGACAACTTTCAGGATCGTAAACCACTTGACAATGAACCTTTTACAGGCCTGGCTTTAAGCACGTCTCCCTCACTATAAAACTGATGGTCTCCGTACCTCCCTGGATGCAGCCCCAGCCAGCTGTACACCTACAGAGTGGGAGCGGGACCCCGGCTCCGCGGCCCACATAAAGGTCACAGCCAGTCTTAAAAGGCTGAAAGGACACGAGTCCGCGTGTCTCTACAGCACACTATTCCCAAGGAAACTCAATTCACAAACTTTCAACACTAGAAGACGGCAAGAGTTACCTGCGAGCCCTCCAGTTGCAGCAGATATTCCAAAATGTCCTTGAGGAGGGATAACCATATTATCCACTTTGACGCAAAATTCATAATCATTTTTATCTGGTGTGAAGCCATTATTGACCATCACCTAAAAAGAGAGACTACAGCTATAGCTTTTATAACAGGCATTGTAAAATGAATGTCAAATAGTCAATGTGTGACTAACTGTCTTATATTTGGTCTAATAACCAACTGTCAAAAAGCCACCGGTTTTCTCTCACTACTAAAGAGGGTCATCTGCTGTCCATTAACTAACCTCACTTACTTGGAATCATTATACAAGACACTTCACTTTATTCTAACTCTACTATGTGTCAAAGGTTTAAAGAGAAATATTTGGTAACATTCCACGAAAAACTTACTGAAATAGAAGACTTAGGGAAGCATGACTACTTTCTTCGAACGGTTCGTACAGAAGAGGGATCAGACTTACTCTGAAACCCCAGTGACAGAGCCAAAACGAATAGGAGGAATTTACAATTTTTACTACAGCTGGTTGAGAATTAAATAGATTCACTTAGCAAGTCGTGAGCTTCTCTTCATTAAACTGGGGAGGGGGGTGTGACTGGAGAGTCATAAGTTAGCAGAGACACCAGAAGTGACAGAAGTTGTACTGACAAAAAGGCAGCAAATGAAAAAACTAAAAGGACGCCTAAGTTTCTATTTTGCAGAATGTATTTTTTTAAGTTTATTTATTTTTGAAAGAGAGAGAGAATGAATGCAAGTGGGGGCGGGGCAGAGAGAGAGAGAGAGAGAGAGAGAGAATCCCCAGCAGGCTCCAAGCTGACAATCCTCAGCACAGAGCCCAACATGGGGCTTGAACCCACAAACTGTGAGATCATGACCTGAGCTGAAATTAAGAGTTGGACGCTTAACCAACTGAGTCACTCAGACGTCCCTGTGCAGAAGCTATTTTGGAAGTAATAACCCAAAATGTCTTCAAAGAATCTTGGAATCCCAAGAAAGCAAAGAACCCAGCTGACACACAGATACTGATCTCCTGATCCCAATCAAGCAGTGGCCGAGCCTTTCACTCCCAGCAACCCAACGTAAAAGGGGCTGAGAGCGGAAGGAGGAGGAAGAGAGATGTCGTACTAGCACGGGGCACTTCTATTATTACTGCCAGAGGCCAGCATCACTTGTGACAGTCTACACAGGTAAAATGTTAGAGTGTTCTGCCCACATTTTTTAGCAAGAAAGGAAGACACTTGTCAATATGGAAGGCAAATCCTATATCATATAGAATGGAAACGTCAACTCCTGCCAATTTTTCAAAACCACCTGCCGTCTATAGTTGACTAATAGTAATATTCTGTTCCCCCCGATCAGTAACGCCATTTCAGTTTCCACCATTTGCAAACAGTGCTCCTCTACAGTGTTTTAAATCGGAATCAAGACCCGGTAAGACATTTGTCTTTGAGAGATAAAGAAAACAAAGGTGTTAGTTAATCACATTCTAGTTCTAATCCTAAAAACTTTCAACTCTTCAATATTTTTTCCTTGAACCTCAACAACCTGAAAATCCACTAGGACTCTTTATTGTCTAGTACTATTTCTTAAAAAAAAAAAAAGAGAGAGAGAATAATAAACTCATCGTACTATGAGTTTGGAGGAACGTCAGGTCTGTGACTATACAGGTACCATTCATATGCTTTATTCATCTTACAGTTTCAACCCACTGTTAACTACTACACTAGCCGTACTTAGTTTTCAATGGGCAACAATCGTGCCTCGGATAAACCTCATCGGCTACGGTACTGCCGCTGCACAAATCTGTACTTGTTTTGACTATGTTCCTCCACTAACAACGTTTCTTGCTCCCCTTACTGTTTTTCCCTCTGAAGTTCAAACAAGTGGGACAAGATAAATGGATAAGTACCAATTCAATAAACATTCCCTGAGTTACTAAAAGGAGCAAAATATGAGGGACTATAAAGAATACAGGATATAATGTCTGTACTGGCAAATTTACAATCATATTGATGAGAAAAAAGACATACAGACCACAGTTGACTAGTAATTCAAGACAACATACTTTAAAGGCCACATACGCACTAGAAAAAAAAAAAAAACCAGAGTTTTGGGGAGAAAGATCATTATCTTTATTATCTTTATTATTTATCATTTATTACCATATATTTATTGTCATTATTATTATCTTTATCATTACCTGATAATGATGGAACAGGGATGTGACCTAGCGTGTTCAAGGAGCACGACTCTGCCACATAGAAGAGGGAGTGCATTACAGGAAGAGAGAAGAGACTGAGCAAACATAAAGGCTAGGACCGTTCAATCAGTCACGTGCCTTGCCAAGTCTCTCTCAGATGTATTCTTCACAGCACTAGCTCTACAGACATTCACGGATGTTAGGTGAACAAGTAATTCTGAAGAACGTAGAGTTTACTCACAGTTTGTTTCAAGACTTCCTAGAATGTGCTTTAATGAGCTAATATGCACAGTCGTGCCCAATCTCTTCTGAATGTGGAACTCTCTCGGGAGGACGTTTTGTAGGACGATTTTGGGTACTGTCGGTGGGGTTCGGTGCACTGTGTCTGTGGGCAGCCTCCTGGGGCAATCTGTGAACTAAAGTGTGGGTCTGCCCCCCCCCCCCCCCCCCCCCCCCGAGGTTGGTGGCTGGGTTGTGCCACATGAAGGTGAGCACGACTTACTGATGGCCCTAATGAAACTGTACCGGATGTGTAACAATTACAGTGGAACTCAGGTCCAAGTCCATCGTGACAGACCGGACACCTCATCTGCTCTGAGATCTCTAAACTAGTCTGGAATTTAAGACTGAGCCAATACAAAGTTCTCCAAAGAACAGCCTGTGCAAGCCTAGCTCATGATTTAGGAGAGAGCAAAATTAAAGCCGGATTTTTTTCTTTATTTACAAGTATGCTATAACCAGGTATTGATGACACCTTTATCAAGCAAAGTTCACACGATACTAGTAATCATGGAACTGCTAACTAGATATGTCCACTTTAAATAGTACCCTGGACTCAATGTGTCTACAGCTAAACTCTCACCATCCCTCTGTCTTCCACTCCTCACTCAAACACAAACAAGGTGTTTCTCGGCTTAGTTGTACAACTGGCCAGAAATCCGGGAACTAGCTTTGACTCCCCAGAGCCTCCCACCCCCAAGCAAACTAGTATTAAGTCCTGCGGTCTCTCCCTCCTAATCGCTTCCCCTCTCTTCTTCCCTCTCCCTCGGTTCAGACCACAAGTGGAGTCTTACACTAAGAGAGCACTCGGTTCATATCATAGTTGTGTTACTTACTAGGTATGACTCTAAGTTACTTAAAATTTCCCATATTCGATTGCCCCGTGTATGAGATGGGGATACCTACCCCACAGGGTTGCTGGAAAGAATAAGTGGGAAACTGCACGGAAAGGACCGAGCACAGGGAGTGGCCCCTAAGAGTCGGGGTCTCCTTTCACAGATACCATTAAAGAACACAGCCGCCTAAGTCATCTTCCCAAACTGCAAATCTAATCATTTCACTTTCCTGCTTAGAACTTGAAACAGTTGCCTACAGGACAAACCACCTGAGGCCTACAAGACGGGCTACCGCCGCCATTTCAACCCCACTTTCCACAGTCTCCTCTATCCTCCAGCCAAATTACGTGCCTTTCCCAAATCTTTCAAGAGTCCCTGTGCCTGTTTTCTCTGCCTGGTATATGCACCCCATTTAGGAAATTTCTATTTCCCCTTCCAGGTGCAGCTCAACTCTGAGCAACTATTCCTGACCCTCCCCGCTCCCACCCGGCAGTTTGGAAGATTCTATGCCCTTGATTACTTAATGGCATGCGTGTTGCAGCACGTGTCACATAGCGTAAGCAATGTTACAGAAGTGTCTCCACTCCACTAGACTAAATGCTCTTTGGAGAAAATGACCTTTATCTTACTCATATTTCTATCTTGCTGGCTTGCGTATGTATATGATGTGTGAGACACAGTAAGTCGGATGCTTAAGCATATACTGATGGCAAACCCACTGGCAAGGTTTTACAAAACGTCGCCACTGACACCGAACTTTGAAGCCACTTCCGCCCTCTCACAGTGACTCTGAGTGTATAAACAATATCCAAATTTACATGCCTTTGATTTCTACCAAAGATTCAACCTGAAAGGTCACGCTGGAATACTGTCCATTTGATTATCTCCAAGTGCATGCTACGTACCGTCAGTGTTTTCTGGTAATATGTGATCTTTGCCCGGACAGGATAGGGTTTATTACGAAAGTCCCTCTGGCAACTCGCTAAAGCTTGACTGGCGCCATCACTACAGTATGAAGAAAAGGAAAACAGACAAAAAAACATAACAAAGCTTCCCGATATTTAAAAACTCACTATTTAAAATGACCAACGTCCAGAGAGATAAAACAACAGTAAGTTATGACAAAGTCTTGGGATACTTGAAGTTATTTATTCAGAAGACACAAAGTTAAGGCCCGAGTTTTTTTCCCGTGATTCCTGTTGGAACCATGGAGAGCGTCAGAAGCCAGTGTTCCCATGTGCTGACCCTAAGAGGAAAGTTACCCCTCCCACGCGAGACTAGAGCCACAGTCCTTTACGGCCCAATCGAATACGTGTGGAGCTTTCAAAACTGCCGATTCCTAGACCCCTCCCCCCCAAGTGAACTGAAGCAGACTCACAAGGAGTGGCCTTGGCACCCTCTACTTTAAATAGCTCCACGGGTGGTCATGATGAACCAGGAGGATTAAAAATCACTAAGGTAGGAAACAGTAAAAAAAAAAAAAGTGCAGATAAGTTAATTTTTCTTATAGTTTACTGACTGGCTCAAAGGTAATTCCTCCCACAACAAACATGTAAAAATAAAAAATGTCCATACCTAATTCATACACAGCATAAATATACTAACACAAGTTTTGTAGCCTGCTGAGAATCTTTAAATACAGCAACATGAAGAATGAATAAGGTGGCATAAATTGCTTGGCCACTAGTCTGGTCAAGACTTTGAACTTTATTTTCGAAAGATAAAGATGAAAGAAACATGACTAATGGTATTACTGAGAACCAGGAACCTTTTACAAACCTTTCAACATATTACATAACTTTAGGTTGAATAAAACAACACATTTTTATGTTTGAAATCTGAGGTGGTCCATAGAATGAACTTTAAAACAGGACCAAATTAAAATAAGACCTTTCCACCAAGTTACAAAATATATCAAGAAAAGGAACAATCTTATTTCATCCGGAAAATATTCAGTCTATGGCCATACCACCCTGAACACACCCGATCTCGGAAGCTAAGCAGGGTCGGGCCTGGTTAGTACTTGGATGGAAAATGTTCAGATTTGAAACAGTATATTTTCCAAGGTTTTCAAAAAGAAGCTGAAATCAAATAATATATAAAGCACACACTTACTTTTGATGGTCATAATGGATTTGTCCATTGTTGCCTATGATTACTATAGCAGGATTATTTTTCTAAAAACAAAAAGAACGCATTTGTTTTAAAGAATCCTTAGGTCGAAGAATGCTAGATCATTCTAGAAGTGCTATAAGGCCTCTTACATCTCTAAAAATTCTAGGGCTCAAAATGTTAAAATAATTAATAGGAAAGATTTCTACTTATTTAGAAAAATTTTAGTAAACTCTTCTAATCATTCAAAAACAGAGTCACTGAACACTTCAAGAAAGACTGATGATGTGCCCTGTGTGAATAATCAACTACAACACAGATGTGAGGAACCACTGTGAGCGTGGGAGAAATGTGGGACCCAAGGGAGCTTACTAGCCAGAGGACTATACACACCTCAGCGTTCAAGAAGTTATTAAAGTTCTCCTTTAAAAGTGCTAATAATGGGGCGGCTGGGTGGCGCAGTCGGTTAAGCGTCCGACTTCAGCCAGGTCACCATCTCGCGGTCCGGGAGTTCGAGCCCCGCGTCGGGCTCTGGGCTGATGGCTCAGAGCCTGGAGCCTGTTTCCGATTCTGTGTCTCCCTCTCTCTCTGCCCCTCCCCCGTTCATGCTCTCTCTCTGTCCCAAAAATAAATAAACGTTGAAAAAAAAAAATTTAAAAAAAAAAAGTGCTAATAATGACTTCTGACAATCAGCAGAGAAACTACCAGCTGAAACAAAGATCATCAATCTTAAGGCGGCTAACACATAAGTTAATGTTTTCAATTCACAAGTAGACTTTGCTCTTACTGTTTTAGGCTCTCCTAAGGACAGCATCAGAGAAATTGATCAAAAAGTGAAGTGACTAGCATATGAGAAAGTATTAACATGAAAAAGTATTAATATGTGAGCTAGTAGTAGTAACGCACATGGATATTTTCATGAAAATAAATTGTAACAGTCTTCTAAACACTATTGGTTTCACTGCCTATGTCTAAGTGATCCATGCTTATCCATCAAAATTACTAAGCATACACAGGGGGCTGGGGAGGGAGGTCATTGCAAAGTTCTCAGAGTTAGGGCTCCATTACGACCTCCAGTTGATGTACAACAAATCATGAACTCATAGCTTTAAATTTCTAAACTCCTGGCTACATAAAGACTAATCATCATAATTTAAAATATAGTTTGGAGAGTTCCCTACTACTAACCTGACAAAAGTGTTAAATAAACTAATTCCTCACAGCCTAACTTTGTTAGCAGGTACACTCAAGCAGGTAACAGTCCCGACAACAAGCATACCTTTCCATCGTTGTCAAAAGAATCGAAAAATATTCCAACACCATTCCACATATCAGCTGATCCAAACACAGGACCCTCCAAGCCTTGATTTTCTGTATACCAAACTGCCTGTAAATATAAATAACAGGAGGCATTTAGAGGCTAGTGGTGTATGCATTGATACACATTTTAGATGTTAAATTCTCATACCAGGCCATCAGCTCCAATTCGACCTCTTCCAGTCACTCGAAATGTCACCTCAACTTCCCAGTTTTCAAAGGCTGCTTTTGTCTTTGTCCACACTGATCCTCTTTGGCTTTTTAAAGAGGGTGCTATTCGAATTTGATCTGAACTTGGAATAGCATCTAAAACAAAAATCAGGGAAGGGAAGCTTTAAGTTATAATTAGGTAAAACTCAATGAACCATCACCAAACTGTTCCATATACCTATAGAGATCGAATTTTAACGCAGTAAGCTGTACAAAAATTTTGTTAGGAAAAAATTACACATTGACAGTTTCAACTTTAAAATTTTAGATGCTTCTAACAGCTCCCTTGCCATCTTTTGAACAGTGACATACCACTGGAAAGAGAAAGAAAGAAAGAAAGAAAGAAAGAAAGAAAGAAAGAAAGAAAGAAAGAAAGAAAGAAAAAGGATGGAAGGAAGAAAGAAAGATTAAAGCTGGAACCATACACTAAAAATTCAAGGGGCAGGAGGGAAGAAATTATGGCTTAAAAAGCAAACCTACTATTTGATTCCCATAATATTCTTTTCCAAGTACCTCAAAAACTTGCATACTTTTTTTTTTTTTTTAACTGCGAAGGATTTTACCAATTTACAAATGTAGGACGCTCAAACGGTATGAAAGGAACATACCACTAGGAATCAAGACTTATTCCTAGTCTCAGTTCCGCTGTGTGACTTTGAGCAAATAATTCTCTTACTGTCTTGGGTTCACCATATGTTCACCTGTAAAATGAAGGGGCTGGGCTCAATCACTTCCAGAAACACCCCAAAAGTTATATGCAAAATTCTGTGCATATATACATTCTTCTAGGGAGAGGGTCAATTGAATTTCAAGGCAATGAACAGTTTTTTAGCAACAGCAGATTCTCAAAGAGAATTGTGATCCCCAAAACAGTGGTCTGCATCTCTAAGCTAGGCTCAAGTCCCAGCTGCACCACTTGCTAGCTATTTGTACAAAAGTTACTCCATTTCTCTAACAACCTCACGGGCACAGAAGTATTTCAATAAATGTTAGCTAGTCCTGTTAATAGAACTAGATATTATGAAAGCACCTATCGGGCCTAAGTTCAAACAATTCTAACACACCCTCTCAGATATTAACCAGTTCTGACATCCATGCTTGGAAATACCTGTATTATGTCTTTACAGCTAGGAGAAACTGACAAAAAGACAAGTCGAGATATTTTAGTGCGATCAGTAACTATCTGTCACCATGACTTTCAAATGCATAAAAGGGTGGGGGCAGACATCTTGGAAAGAGTACTGGCCACAGTATCAGAAGACCTTGATTTGTGTTCTGTTCTACTGACACTAGCTATGTAACCTTTTCCAAGAACCTTAGCCTTTCTGAACAGCAGTTTTTTTTTCATCTATAAAGCAGCTAACACCTGCCTTGCTTACAAATGATCAAATCAGAGAATGAAGGGGAAAGAGCTCTGAGACCTAGCTACAAAGGGTTACAAATTGTCGTGATCATTTTTGTGCCCTTATGAACCCAGGATGTGTGCTAACAGTACAAAAGGACATTAGAGTTAAGAAAAGAAACACTGTCGATTTGGCCTTCATTTGGGGATGAATGTAATGGGCCATGTTTAAACTAAATCTTAAATTTCTCTATTTGAAAAAAAAAAACTGCTTTAAATAATGGCTCTCCGGGTAAAACGAAAAAGGAAAAAAATGATCAATGGAGTTAAGAAGACAGTGAGACTGTAAAAATTACAGTGATAATGAAAACAAGAAGTATTCACAGCAGGAATTCCTTGAGTCAGTATGTAGGAAAATCATGACTAAAATATTAATCCCCTTATTTCACATTCAGTCTAGTCATCCACTTTAATTCACCCAGGTACTCTCTATGACATTTTTGCAACAGACAAGTTTGGTTGAGTACAGACTGTAGAGAAAGTCAAGGTAACTAATTTGAGTAGTTGGTTAACATTCCCAGTTGGCTGATGTATGTGGTGTCAGGTGGCAAAGACAGAACAAGCAGGCAAGGGACAGATGCAGAAGTGAAAAAGTGGGAACAAATCCATCACCACTACTGAAAACTTTATCATCGTTCCAAAACAAAAACAAAAACTCCAAAAACCTGTGTTTGGCACATCCGCATCATCTTTACATATTAGGACTGATATCACCTTGATTAACAAAAGCCCAGCAATATACCCTTGATGAGTGGGCACACAGTGAATACCTGCTGAGTAACAAATACTCAGCACTCCACTTCAAATACTTAATGACTTGGTCATTAAGTCAAATTGAAATTTTATACCTTTGAGTTTACACATTAATTTCAGTGAAACGGCTCTTACTAACAGTGTTTCCAATTCAGTCATTACTTTCTAGAAATGGGATATTTTATTTCAAGCACTGGACAATCTAACACAAAGCATACAAACACCTTCTATAAATAATTGTTTCATGACACATAAAGATGGAACTCAAACTGCCAGACTTTTCACCCCGTATCAAGGCATCTGCCACTTGGTTCAAAGGGTACATCTGATGGTCACTGAACAGAGCTTACAGCATGCCAAGTGTTATGGCTGGTTCCTTAGTCAGCAGTGACACATCAGCACTAGAAAGTACAGATTCGTTTTCTTCCACATATGTCAATGTGTAGCAAGGCTCTCTTATCTACCAACAGTGACAAACACACAGAGTGAATAAAACTCGGAGCACAGATTACTTTCAATTTTCAAAAAAACTAAAAATATCTCTTAAAAGGCTGCATCTGTTATTCTCCAGTGTCAAGTGCAGAAACAATCAATACGAAAAAAAAATCCCTGTTACTAAAGGGACGAGCGTGACTCTTGCTACATAATACGAGACAAAAGCTCAAAGACCACACCAAGTCACTATGAGGCAAATTCAAGGTATTCCAGTAACATAACAATGTCCTCAGACGTAAAAAAAAGACTCAAAAACTACTCTAAAACTAACGTATGCCATCTCCGGAGGCGTCAGTAGGTACTGGGTACAACTGGAGCATTCACCATTGCTGACACCGGAGAAAAGACAGCAGGGGAGGCCCAGGAGAAGCGGGAAAGGAGGAAGGGAAGCTGCCTGAACAGGTCTCAGGTTGGGATGGCCGGGGGTGGGGCTGCGGGACGTTCCCGGCGAGACGTGGCATCAGGATGAAACGCGATGCTTAGAAGAGAGTTGGAGTGCCTGCAAGTGTAGGAAAGTAACAAAACACCTCTACCCCGAACGGAAAGAACGGACGACATCACGGAAAAGAGGACAGGAGGACGAGGGGTGGCAGAATGGGGTTGGGGGGAGCCTTAGGGGGCAGGCGAAGAGAACCCTGCGGACCAGAGCCGACCGGCAGGAGGGGCTGCTGAGAAGGGTCCACCGCGCCAGTGGAGTGCAGCGGGGTGAGGGTGAAGAGGAGGAGACGCAAGGCGAGGAGGGGACCCTGGCCCCCCGCCCTCTTTCCCGGCTTACTCCCCGCGTGGGCCCAGAAGGGCACTGTCCCGTCGCTTTGCACCAGGTGCGGCCCCTTGAAGCTGTATTTGTACTCGAAACGGCGGTGTGGCAGTGCGGCTGCGGTGCCCGCGGCACCAGCGGCCGCGGGGTCGCCTCCCATGCCGTCGCCCCCGGCGAAACGACTAAGCGACAGCAGCAGGGCGCAGAAAAGAGACCGAACTCTGGCCTGGGGACCCCTATGCCTGGATCCCGCCATCTTGGATTCTGGGAAGCGGAGGCCGGCGGGAGGAGGAGGGGCGCGGGAGCTACGGACGGCCAACAGGGCGCTCGCTGATTGGCGGAGCCCGAGGGACCCCGAGGGCAAGGGTGAGCCCCGCCCCCGGCCTCCGCCAGCCCGGCGGCCGCAGGACTCGGCGCATCTGTGGGCGGGGCCCCGCGGGAGGGGGCGGGGCCTGGAGGCGGTGCTGTCTACGCGCCCCGCCCGTCCTCTCCCGGGCGGGAAAGGGTCTCCTACATTCCGTTCCCAGGCGACGGGGAGCGTTGGCGGAGCACCGCACACGCTTCCCTGCAAGAAGCTTTCTCCTGCCTCCTAACACACGTTAGAGGTGGAATTCGCGAGCCCTAACGCCTGTGGACTCCCCACATCTGTCTTCCCTGCCTACAATAAACCGTTCCAGTACTAGAAAAAAGTCT